TATCACTATCTACAATATAATAAAAAAATGTTAACTAATAATATTGAAACACAAAATAATAAATAATTAAATTAAATTATGTGGGTTTATGAGTCAACCCAGTTCACCATAGGTTCAACCCATGAGCCGGATTGAAAACTAGCCTGCATAAAAAATTTACATTTTTTTCAAACCTAACCCGATTCAAACCCGCGGGTTTGCTCGCGGGTTACAACCCATTTTGATAGTACTAGTTGGAATTGGGTTCAAGCTTTCCCCAACTTCTCATCAATGGACGTATACAAAGGAGTGCAATTCATTCGATAAATTTCTATCTCTTTCTTTAGTTATGAGATGTTTGGATTTTTTAAAACTCGATGAGTTATCATAGGCTCAAAGTCACTACGAATATGGTTTGAATAATTTAATTAGTTTGTTTTGATTTGAATGTGAAATTAAGATATTTTGTAATACATGAGAATGACGTAAATGAAATATAGTTTTGACAATTGTAAATTCTTTATGTTAAATTTATTGTTGCACAACAACTGTTTGATAAAAATACGAAAATAGTTTCTTTTGTGTTTTTTTAAGCTTTGTGATCTAATTGAGTTATAACGTGTAAAAGTTGTTTAGTATTGTACAAGTCCCTTAAGATAGAACAACATCTATTACTTGTTATCAATGCACTTGCCGTTTTCCACTAACATGTAATATATATTTATATATATAACAAACATTTAAACTTACCAAATTTCCTGAATTAAGATTTTTTTCTATATATATCACATACATAAACTATATATTATCCATATAAACAATATTTTTTTAAGTCCTCACTAGTAAAAATACTGGATTTGAAATCGCACAATAGGCTTCAGTTGAGGCACAACTGAAACCTATAAAAAAGCGGTGGCATTTTTGTAGTTTAAGCTAACTTTTCTGACTCGGTTCAAGGGGAACCGAGGCATATACGCAATATGACATCGGTTCAAACCCCAACCGATGCCTAACACCATGAGAAATTCCTGCTTATTTGACCAGCTTGTTGAATCCTGTTCCATTGTCTCGGTTCACTAGGGACCCAAGGCAGTATACCCTGTCCAAAAAGGTTATGTAATTTTCTAGTGTCAGTCTACTTTCGGTCCGAAAGGGGTAATCAAATTTCATTTTCAAAACCCTTGGCCTTCATTATTGGTTCTTCTTCTTCTCGCGGATGTTATCTTTAGCTCGTGCAAGGGCAGTAGACTCGGGGTGGAGGAGACAAAAGTGTGGAGATGGCGCGACCAGACGACGTTCGTGATGGCTCGCGGTGGCGCATGGGTCGTTCTTCTTCTTCTTCTTTTCCATTTTGGGTTTGTCTTTGGGTTCTCTTCTTCCCTTCTTTCTTTTCAGGTTCGGACGCGGTTTCGCGTAGGGAGGGGCGGCCGACCCGACTTCGTCTCCGCGGCGTGACGGTCCCTGTTCGTGGAGGTGGCAGCAGCGGCTCTAGCGATTCGATTTGGGGCTTGGCGACACTGTGGGAGGCGCGACTCAGGCATGATCTCGCCTTCGTTGGCGGCGGCGATGGAGCGACAAGGGAGCGATGATGGTGTGGCGGTGGCGCGGCGAGGGCTTCTGCGTTTGGCAGCGAAGGTTTCGTTAGGGGACTTTTAGGTTCTCTGTGCTCGCAAGAGGCTGTGGTTTTTGGTGATTTAGGTTCTCTGTAACCAATCTTTGCACACATTTATACTTCCCCATGCTCCACAAGGATCTGCCCCACCCCATCACAGTACCAAGGTGTGTGCCCTTTCATGGTAGGGATATCTATACTCAAGCACAAGATCGAAACACAATGGTAAATTGCAAACTATTTCTGATTTTTTTTACTAAAAACAGGTCCGATCAAAGCATTCAAAGATGAGGAAAGGGGTTACCCTTCTTTGTATCCTGTTAGACCAATTGTTCAAACTGGGACAGGGGATAGCTACAACTGGTTGTACAACAAGGTTGGAGTGTCTGACATGGTTGGAGAAGTAACAAGATGGTTCGATTTTGTATGTTTGTTTTGGGAGTGATGGAACACTCTCACAAGAGCAAGTGAACGAGCTGACACATGGTTTGGAATTGAGCAAGCACAAGTTCTTGTGGGTTGTGAGAGCGCCAAGCGGTGAGGCCAACACAGGTTATCTCGGTGGAGAAAAAGATGCAGACCCATTAGAGTTATTGCCAAGTGGGTTCTTGGAGAGGACCAAATAGTAAGCTATGTTGGACGTGTTTGTGCTCAAGATCACCGGGTAGGAAGAATTTGCCTTGAACTAGTTTCTTATGACAATAAGCTGAACAAAGTGTGGCCAGAAAAAAAAAGTAAAAATCACTCTACTACCTCGGTTCAGGTCCCAACCGAGGTAATAGAGTACGAGATACTAACTCGATTCAAAACCGAGACAANAGTTTTGACAATTGTAAATTCTTTATGTTAAATTTATTGTTGCACAACAACTGTTTGATAAAAATACGAAAATAGTTTCTTTTGTGTTTTTTTAAGTTTTGTGGTCTAATTGAGTTATAACGTGTAAAAGTTGTTTAGTATTGTACAAGTCCCTTAAGATAGAACAACATTTATTACTTGCTATCAATGCACTTGCCGTTTTCCACTAACATGTAATATATATTTATATATATAACAAACATTTAAACTTTCCAAATTTCCTGAATTAAGATTTTTTTTCTATATATATCACATACATAAACTATATATTATCCATATAAACAATATTTTTTTAAGTCCTCACTAATAAAAAAACTGGATTTGAAATCGCACAATAGGCTTCAGTTGAGGCACAACTGAAACCTATAAAAAAGCGGTGGCATTTTCGTAGTTTAAGCTAACTTTTCTGACTCGGTTCAAGGGGAACCGAGGCATATACGCAATATGACATCAGTTCAAACCCCAACCAGTGCCTAACACCATGAGAAATTCCTGCTTATTTGACTAGCTTTTTGAATCATGTTTCATTGTCTCGGTTTACTAGGGACCCGAGGCAGTATACCCTGTCCAGAAAGGTTATGTAATTTTCTAGTGTCAGTCTACTTTCGGTCCGAAAGGGGTAATAAAATTTCATTTTCAAAACCCTTGGCCTTCATTATTGGTTCTTCTTCTTCTCGCGGATGTATCTTTAGCTCGTGCAAGGGCAGTGGACTCGGGGTCGAGGAGACAAAAGTGTGGAGATGGCGCGACCAGACGACGTTCGTGGTGGCTCGCGGTGGCGCATGGGCCGTTCTTCTTCTTCTTCTTTTTCGTTTTGGGTTTGTCTTTGGGTTCTCTTCTTCCCTTCTTTCTTTTCAGGTTCGGACGCGGTTTCGCGTAGGGAGGGGCGACCGCGACTCTAGCGATTCGATTTGGGGCTTGGCGACACTGTGGGAGGCGCGACTCAGGCATGATCTCGCCTTCGTTGGCGGCAGCGATGGAGCGACAAGGGCGCGATGATGGTGTGGCGATGGGGCGACGAGGGCTTCTGCGTTTGGCAGCGAGGGTTTCGTTAGGGGATTTTTAGGTTCTCTGTGCTCGCATGAGGCTGTGGTTTTTGGTGATTTGGGTTCTCTGTAACCACTCTCTGCACACATTTCTACTTCCCCATGCTCCACAAGGATCTGCCCCACCCCATCACAGTACCAGGGTGTATGCCCTTTCATGGTAGGGATATCTATACTCAAGCACAGGATCGAAACACAATGGTAAATTGCAAACTATTTCTGATTTTTTTTACTGGAAACAGGTTTGATCAAAGCATTCAAAGATGAGGAAAGAGGTTACCCTTCTTTGTATCCTGTTAGACCAATTGTTCAAACTGGGACAGGGGATAGCTACAACTGGTTGTACAACAAGGTTGGAGTGTCTGACATGGTTGGAGAAGAAACAAGATGGTTCGATTTTGTATGTTTGTTTTGGGAGTGATGGAACACTCTCACAAGAGCAAATGAACAAGCTGACACATGGTTTGGAATTGAGCAAGCACAAGTTCTTGTGGGTTGTGAGAGCGCCAAGCGATGAGGCCAACACAGGTTATCTCGGTGGAGAAAAAGATGCAGACCATTAGAGTTATTGCCAAGTGGGTTCTTGGAGAGGACCAAATAACAAGCTATGTTGGACGTGTTTGTGCTCAAGGTCACCGGGTAGGAAAAATTTGCCTTGAACTAGTTTCTTATGACAATAAGCTGAACAAAGTGTGGCCAGAAAAAAAAAGTAAAAATCACTCTACTACCTCGGTTCAAGTCCCAACCGAGGCAATAGAGTACGAGATACTAACTCGATTCAAAACCGAGACAAAAAGGAAAATACTTTTTATTTTGACTATATATGCCTCGGTTGAGAAACCGATGTCTATGGACGAAAATAACTGATGTCGTTTCTCTTGACTGCACTAGTGTTTGTGACCATATTTTTCACATTCATGACATATTTTTCGTGTTTTTTTTATTAAGTGATATTCCAAATTTAGGTTATGTTTGTTTAGGATGACGTATTTGTAACATAGGAAATAAAAGGAGATGGAGAACTTGTTTGTTTAGGATGAACTTTCATGGGTCCATGTTTAATATAATTTCTTGAATTTTAATTTTATCATTTTAAATAATAGCTCACATTTAATAATAATAATAACAATAATATTTGTATTTAAACTAATCACTCACAATATATTTAAACTTAATTTCTACCAAACCCATTTTATTTCAATATAATTTTATCATTTTAATTTTTTTAAATTTTAAATAACAACTTAAATTTCATTTTAACATAACTTACACTCAAAATTTATTTTAAATAACAACTTAAATTC